AACTGAAGTATGTCAACCCAGAACATGTTTTTGTGCTTAAAGGCTTACCCTGGAAAAGGCTTGGGCTACACAGGAATCCGGAACACCCAGTGTAGTCACCAGCTGGCTAATAAAGACTATTTGTTGGCTTAAACCCATGCCCATCCAGTCTTCTCTGGTGAATGCACCACAACAAAAATCACAATACGCCATTCTCGGTGACTGTCATTGTTGTTTTTAAAATGTTTTTTTTTTTTTTTTTTCACCCAGAAATCTGCTGACTCTTTGATCTCCAGAACAAATGGCAATTTATGGAGTAATTCTTCCACTCTCTGGAGAAATTAATCAAGGTGTTCTATATACACTGATATGATTCTATTACAACATTTACATTTAAAAAATGTGTGTGTGCTCCACGAGGAGAGCAACAGAACAAGATAATTTGAACACAGGGAACTTCCCAGAGACTCATACTCCAACCAAGGACTATTCGTGGAGATAACCTAGAACCCCTGCACAGATGTAGCCCATGGCAATTCAGTGTCCAAATGGGTTACATAGTAATGGGAAGAGGGACTGCCTCTGACATAATCTGATTGGCCTGCTCGTTGATCACCTCCCCCTGAGGGGGGAGCAGCCTTGCCAGCCCACAGTAGAGGACAATGCAGCCACTTTTGATGAGAACTGATAGACTAAGATCAGAAAGGAGAGGAGAACCTCCCCTATCAGTGGACTTGGGGAATGGCATGCATGCAGAAAGGGGAGGGAGGGTGGCATGGGGAGGGGAGGAGGGAGGGGCTTATGGGGGGATATAAAATTAATAAAGTGTAATTAATAAAAAATTAAAAAATATATAAATGAAAAAAAAATGTGTGTGTGTGTGTGTGTGTGTGTGTGTGTGTGTGTGTGTGTCATGGGTCATGTAGAAGTAGACGGAAGACAACCTGCAAGTTCTTTCCATCTACCCTGAAGGTCATAGGAATAAAACATAAGTTGCCAAAGCTTGACAACAGGCCCCTTTACCCACTGAGCCACTGTCTAGGCAGTTGTTTTTCTAACTAAAGCAAGTCTCTAGAGTACAGGGATCATATTCATCTTTACAGTCTCAGTACGCCACACCATAATCTAGAACTTAAGTCTTAAAAAAAAACACTTATTAATTTGTATGTGTGTGCAAGCATGCACAGCTGCCATGGAGTGCATGCAGAGGTAAGCAGACAACTTGTGGAAATTGCTTCTCTCCTTTTACCATGTGAGCTCCAGAGAGGGAACTCGGATCATCAGGCTTGCTGCCGAGCACCGTTGCCCACAGAGCCATCTTGCTGGTCCCTCATCATACTTAATCATTCACAAATAAGTAAATGAGATAGTAACTAATGATACGGTTACAGAAGACAACTGAGTTGATACCTGATGTGAAACATATCAATATCCCATAGATAAGGTGAGATGTGTTGTCAATAATTCTCCAGCCCAGAACATGAACCTGATTTGTTTCTTTTTTTGTTTGTTTCTCTAGGCTTCAGAGCAACATAGTCTAAAACAGATCCAGAAACTCACAGGTCAGAACAATTCTATCCCTTATTGTTAGCTCAGGGCTGATGACAGATCAGCTTTAAGACTCCAGTCTTTAACAGCAGGTGGAAGAAAGTTGAAAAAGAGGATGTGACTGGAGAGTATATCCATCTTCTAACGTCTTCACTTCAGAAGTCATAAAAATTCCTCCATAGATCCTTTCCTTGTGCTTTTCTGTCCCATATGTTTTTTTTGTTTGTTTGTTTGTTTGTTTGTTTTGTGTGTAAACCCCAAAGAATGGAAAAGAAACTTGGTGGGTCAGTAAAATAGACAAAGATTAACTCCCTAGAGTTTGATGAGGGAGGTCTGTTACCTTTATTTCTCTGCCATGGATTCCAGGTAGACATTTTGGAAGGAAAAACATATTAGATCTCTGTGTCCCCCATTCTTCCCAGTCCCATGCTTCTGATGTGGCCACTCATGGTTTATGATAAAGACTGTATAGTATATACCTGATAGCTGTGCTGTGCCACTAATTAGCCTCATGATGGACATGACTTCATCTTTGCCTTCATAGTTGTTGAATGGAGGATCTTTTAGATGATGTCAGTAGTCACTATACTGAATAGTTTCTTTATTCCTATCATCAGTTTCACAGTTGGACGAAGCCGGGATGAATTTTTTTGAAGCTGACCTGACGTGGTAAGCAGAGTGTATCTTCAGACTGTCCTACTGACAAAATGCCCATGCTGGCTAGGTTCATGGCAACCTGATACAAGCTCGCATCATTTTGAAGCGGGACCTCAATTGCCCCTTCCAGACTGCTCTGTGGGCAAGCCCGTGGTGCATTTTCTTTTTTTCTTCTTTCTTTCTCTCTTTTTCTTTCTGTCCTTCCTTCCTTCCTTCCTTCCTTCCTTCCTTCCTTCCTTCCTTCCTTCCTTCCTTCCTTTCTTTCTTTCTTTCTTTCTTTCTTTCTTTCTTTCTTTCTTTCTTTCTTTCCTTCTTTCTTCCCTGCTTCATTCCTTCCTTCCTTTTTTTTTTCAGGGTGTGTGTGGCCATGTTTGAGACAGGGTTTCAATTTGTAGACCAGGCTGGCCTTGAACTCACAGGGATTAAAGGTGTACTCGGCTCTGGTGCATTTTCTTAACTGATGATTGGTGTGGGAAGGTCCAGCTCACTGTGGGCGGTGCCAACCCTGGGCCTGGTGGTTGTAGGTGGGATAAGAAGGCGGGGCAAGTAAGCTCTAAATGCAAGCCAGTAAGCGAAGTTCCTCCAAAGCCTCTGCATCAGCTCCTGCCTCATGGATTCTGCCCTGGGTTCCTACCCTGACTTCCCTTAGCAGTGGGGTATGATCTGAGAACTGTGAGCTGAAACAAACCCTTTCCCCCAAGTGGTTTATGGTCTGGATGTTTCAGCACAATAGAAACCCTATCTAAGGCACCATCTTAACTGTAAATGTTGTAAGTAAAATACCTCGTCCTTTTCCTTTATTTACTCTGAAAGCAATTGTCTCCTTCCTAAATTAACTTTCTATTGTGATTAGCTTACCAGTACTTTAACATCACTTCAGTTCCATTCACATACTTTGCTGTGTCCAGTATTTCAGGACTTCCTATGGGCTGGACCCAGGAATATGTACTCTGGTCTATAGACAGGAGTCTTCGACAGATCTTCATACATCTGGAAAACGCAAGGTCAGGAAACAGTTTCTGGGTAGAGGCTAAAGAAAGATTTAAAATAAAGGAAGGAAGGAAGGAAGGAAGGAAAGAAAGAAAGAAAGAAAGAAAGAAAGAAAGAAAGAAAGAAAGAAAGAGTGAAAAGGGAAGGTAAAGAAAAATGTTTGCATGGTAGATAACTATTTTTTGAGATTTATTTATGTTTTATGCGTATGGGTGTTTTGCCTGCATGTCTGTCTATGCACCACATGCAAACCTGTTACCCACAGAGTCCAGAAGCGGGTGTGTGATATCCTGGTACTGGAGTTATAGATGTTTGTGAGCCACCCACCATGCAGCACTGGGGATCAGACTTGGGCCCTCTGGAAGAACAGTCACTGTTCTCAGCTGCTGAGCCATCTCTCCAGTCCCCACAGCAGTGAGGTGTTTTTCTTTTTATTGTTGTTGTTAAAAAGACACTTACTTGATTGTATTTTTTTACTCCTTGTGTGTGTGTGCACATGTGTGCCACATTTGTATGTGGAGGTCAGAGAGCAAGCCACAGGAGTCAGTTCTCTTCTTCCAACATGTGGGTCTTAGGGATCGAACTCAGATCATCTGGCTTAATAGCAAGCACAGGCGTGTGTGTGTGTGTGTGTGTGTGTGTGTGTGTGTGTGTGTGTGTGTAAGTAAGTAAGTAAGTTAAAATGTGGGTGTGATTCCTTGAGAGCCATCCACCTTGTCTTTTGAGACAGTCTCTCACTTGGATTCACTAATTAGCCTTGGCTGGCTAGTGAGGCCCAGGCATGCACTTGGCACCCAGCCCAATGGCACTATGTCCTTTTATTACCGTGTGGGTTCTCTACTGTGTGATGTTTCACTGACTGACTCAGCTACCTTGCTCCTGGTGGAGGAATTCTTCACATAAATAATGTTTGTGAAAATATTTCTCTTTGCTTTTTCAGGTTGACACTTTTGGAGCTGAGTTTACCTGAATCCCATGATCTGTCGTCTTCCTCTGTCTCTGACGCAGTGGTTCAGGAGGCTGTCCCACCTTGCTGTCATTGTAAAAAGGGGAAATGCTCCACTGACTACAGCGAGTCCTCTGGATCCTCCATCAACAGCTCCAGCCTGTCTTATCTTCCTATCTTTTCTGAAGCAACAACATGGCAATTCCAGAGCAGTAGTGTATCCGTTTCCCCCACAGAGGAGCTGTCTGTAGCGGGGAGCCAAGGCACACCCCTGCCTACTTGTCAGCTGACAGATCCTGAGAAATCAGATTTTTTTCAGGATTTGGCAGTTCTTTCTCCATTACCATCTCAAAGCACTTTTATTAGCCCTATTTTGGAATCCCTAGATCCTTGCAAACAACAAGAGCAAACAACAGATAAGAGAAATGATCATTTGCTATCAGGTCATGGGTCAAATTCTGTTCTGAATGAGAGCCCAGGACCACTCGTATGGGCTCCACTCCAGCTCTCTCCTCTAGTCAGAGGAGAACTAGAAGGACATATGTTTCAGAAGGTTTCTACTTTGCGGGAACAACTAGTACCTCTACCTGTGAAGAGATCCTGGGAAATACTCAATCATCTGATGGATGTAAAAAGGGTCCCTGAACAAGAGAGCCCCAAGACTCAGTTAACCAAACCCATTCCTCAGAGCACTGAGCAAAATACCAACAGACCTCCAGATTCTCCATCATTTCATCTCCATGTGAACATTGGGGTGAATGCTGGATTAAATAGAACTGAAGCAAAAATGTCACAGCCAGTTACCCCAGTTACCTCAAACAAGCAGTTACCCTCTGAGGGCGACCTCCAAGTCCTTAGGTGCGATCCTTTAGTTATATCAATGGGCACTCCACCCCACAGAAATTTAGGAGTTAACACAATCCAGGAAGAAACCACTCTACTGAAAAAGGATCCAAAGCATGTGTTAGAGCTGAGTATAGGACAGAGGGTCCAAGGTCTTCCAGAAAAAAGGATAAGGCTGCAAAAGCCACAAGTAACCAATGTGGAACTGACACCCAAGGCACCGTGTTCAGCCTCAGACAGCATAAAGGTCACGCCATTGGCGTTGCTTCAGGTCATGGACTCCATGGGAATGATCCCAGAATCACACTCCGAGGTGATAGAGTCTGTGGGACTTTCCCCACAGCCACCAAAACAAGTGGAAACAGTGAGTATAATTCCTCAGCCATCAAAGAAAGTAACTGAATCAGCACAAGTGGCAGGACCTCAGGATCAGACCATGGAATCAAATAGTATGGCCCCAAGACTGAATCAAGTCACAGATAACACGAAGGTAACTCCTGTAGCGTTGTTTCATGTCATCGAGTCCATGGGGATGATTAATGAGTTCCGTCCGCGTGTCATAGAACCAGTAGGAATAGCCCCAAAGCCGCAACACCAAGTCAGGGAATCGGTGAAGATGGATGCATTGCCTACGCAGCAAGCTGTAAGACCAGGAAAGCAAAGTCTAGTGCCACAGAATATAGTCATGGAAGCTGTGGAAAGGATTCTGAAGACTCAGCACAAGGCCATAGAAAGACGGAAAATGACCCCAGGGTCACAGAGTCAAGCCACAAAACATATCAGGTTTACTCCCAGTCCAATCCATCAAAATACAATGGAAATTAGCTCACCCGCACTGCATGGAGTCATTGATAACACACAAGCAACTCCAGTGGCACAACAAAACATGGATTTCATGCAGATAATTCCAACAAGAGTGCCACACATTGCAGAATCTAGGGGTTTGATCCAGGGCTCAGGGTCTCAAGCTGCAAATTTGACCCTGGTGCCAGCTCAACCAGACGTTCTGACTTCTACTGTCCCAGGAAGAGCTGTAGAATCTCGAAGTTTACTTCCACAGACACCATCTGAAGTCCTGGGATCACCAAGGATGATTCTGCAGCCACCAGGCCATCCCACACCTGCTCTAAAGGCAAACCCAACAGTACAGGTGCCACCCACAGGAATGATCACACCACTACAAACTGCAGAGCCTCCTTGTTTGATTACACAGCCAATGGCTCAATCCAGAGGCTCTCTGGAGTTGCCTTCCGCGTTACAGGTTCAGGTCAGAGACTCCATGAGCATGATGCCACAACATCAAGGCACAGGGTACGTGTCATCAACCCCAGGACCGCCTCATCAGGGCATGGAACCTTCAAAGTTCACCCTACAGCACCAAGACTTAGACTATACAGAGGTGAGCCCAAAGCAAAGTCAAAAAATGACGGAAGCTGTGGGGTTGACCTCTGAGACCTGGCCACAAATGAAGAATCCTCTAGAGGTGGCACCATCGTGTCACCAAATAACAAAATCTATGAGAACAAACCTAGGGGCACCAGATCAAGGGACAGTACCTATAGAAATGAGCCAACAGCATCAAGTCACAGAATCTGAAGTAGAACCTGCTACACCACCACTTCAAGAAATGGAATATTTTGGAGGGAACACAATCCCACAACCTAAGGTCATGTGTGTGGCAAACTTACCTCCGGAATTACAGAATGTAAAATCTAAGAACCTAGTCCCAGATCCAAGATTGCAAAGTGCGAAATCTATGGACATGCCCACAGACGTAGTCCCAGAAATGGTAAAGCATGGACTGCCAACCTCAACAGCAGTATCTACAGATTTGGCCCCAGAACTTCATCAGCAGAGCATACAGTCTGAGGAATTAACCCCCAAACCACAATTGCAAAGCGAGGACTCTGTGCCATTAGCCCCAGAGTCTCAGCTTCAGGACATGAACTCCAGCCAGCTAACACCTGGACCACAACCCCAAAATGTACAATGTGCGGGGTTGGCCCCAGATCCACAGTTGCAAAGTAATAATTCAGTAAATTTGATTAATGGTTCACAGTCTCAAGGTATGAAAAACATTCCTCCGGCTCCACCCCAGGAGTTACAAGGAGATAGAAAGATAATGGAGTTGACCCCAAGACCATCACTTGAAGATACAGAATCTGTGAACTTGGCCCCAAAACCACATTCACAAAACACCACCTCTGATAAAAGAATCCACGTCCTGGTCCTGGAAGATATGAAGACTCCATTGGTAGAAGGTGGGAGTTTAATTCCTGAGGACCTGGTGGAAAGTATGAAAGTTTGTGAATCTATCCCAAGCATACAACTTGATGCAGTAAAATCTCCAGAAGTGAGCCCTGACTCCAGCCATCACTTCCTAGAATCTGAAGGGCTCATCCTACAGCAGCAAGCCTCAGAAGCAAGAGTGACCTCTGATACTTGTCATCAGGTGGAAGAATCTGTTGAGTTGATACAATCATCACCACCAATGACTCCAGCACCATTGAGCCAAACCTCAGAATCTATGGAGATGAGCTTACCACCGCTCCAAGAAACTAGGACTCTTGAAACTAGGACCAACGTTGTAAAAGGGATAGAAGAGACCCTAGAATCACAAAACACGATTAAAGATAGTCTGGATTTGCTACCAGAATCAGAAGTGCCAAATAAAAACTCAGAAGTGATGGCCCCAGAGCCACAGCCCCCAGATGTGAAGTTGGCTCATGTGACTCTAGAATCTTGTCCAGAAGTTACTAACCCATTAGATGTGACTCTGAGATCAGAATATGAAGACACAGAAAGTGTCGGATTGACTTTGCCTAAAGTCAATGATAACCAGGGGAACATTGTAGAAGCATATTCAGAAGTGGTATCTCTGGAGCTGAGTCTAGAATCAGGAGTGCGATGTAAGGAATCAGAGTCATTTGCAAAAAATTTGAAATCTCCAGAATTAATCTCTGAATCATCTGAACTACTTGTAGAATCTATGGAATTAACTGTAGGACCCAAACCACAGGTTGAAGATGTGACCGTGGGGCCAGAGCTCCACAAAGGAATGTCTAGGCAAATGGATACAGAATCACACTTGCAAGATGAACAATCTGTGAATTTAATACAACAGCCATCTGTAGGAGTGGTAGATCCTGAAAAGACAAAACCAGAGCCCGGGCTACAGAGTTTATCACCAAAGGAATCGATCGAGGGGACACAGCTTCCAAACATGAAATCCGTGGATTTCAATCTAGGCCCACAACAGCCCATTGCCAAGTCAGGATTGATTCCAGGGCCACAACTGCAAAGTGTCAGACTTCCAAAGTTATATCAAGGGGGGCTACTTCTTCAAGAGGGAAAGCCTGCAAATTTAGTCTCAAATTATGGTGTGAAATCTGATGAAGTGATATCATGTTCCCCTGTGCCAGAAGTCAGGTCATCAGATTTTATTCCAGGGCCAAAGGTCCCAGAACCACAACCACAACACATGACACCTCTGGACATAAACCTAGGGCCGAGCTTGCAGGATGTGAAATTTTCTGATCTAATCCCACAGCCTGAGCACCATGGTTTCAGATATGTACAGTTTATACCAGGGATTCAGCCTCAGGAGGGGAAATCTCAGGGATTTATGCCAGAATCACTTTTGCCATTAAGTGAAGAGCCTCCACTTAAAGATATGAAGCTTGCTCTGCCTACAGAAGAATCTGCGCTTCACAGCATGAAATCTGCAACACAACCCTCTGAATTACAGTGTCCAACTGTGGTATCTGAGCGGGTAAGCCCAGGACTGTGGCAACAAGATAACAAAATTTCTGAGTTGGCTTCAAGGCCAAAACTTCAAGCGGTCAAATTTGGGGAGCAAACCCCAGGATCAGTGTTTGGTAGTATAAGTGCTAGGACTCCAGAATTTGGGATACATGATCCCAAACTAGCAAAGATGACTCCAGGGTTACAAGATACGAGGCAGGTGAGTTTTAACTCAGGGCCATGGCTGCAAGATGTCAAATTTTTTGATGTGATACCAGGAACTCAACCTCAAGGTATGAAAACTTCAGAGGTAAACTCAGGGCCACAGTTAGAATGTGTAAAAATGTTTGAGTTGACCACACAGCCAGAAAGACAAGAGATGAAGTCAAAGTTGGTAGTGCAAGAGCCACTGTTTCAAGATGTAAAATATGTCACAGAGAATCAAGTACCAAGCTTTAAAGACAAAATGCTTAATAAAATGTCATCTGAGCCACAGATATCAAATGCAGAATCAATGAAATTGACTCCTGGGATACACTTAGCGCACACAGACCATTCTAAGTTAATCAGAGGACCAAAGGCCCAAACTATAGAATCTTCTGAAATTATCCAAGGACAGCATTTTGGATATATAAAACCTGTGGAAAAGATCACAGTCTCAAAGCATGTAGAGCTGACATCTCCGGAATTACCATTAGGGCTACAGTTGGGAGAAATGAAACCTATGGAGTTAAGGGCAAGGTCAGAGCTGGGACAAGTCGAAGTTATTCCGTCAACCCCAGGAATGCAAGCAGGAGATAGGAAACATGAACCTGTATGCTCCAACTTGAAAGATTTAAAACCCGAGTTTCTATCTTCAAGACAAAAGTTAGAAGATGGGGAATCTGTGATCTTAACTCTAGGACAATGTCTAGAGAGGATAAAATCGACTGTGGTATCCCCACAAAGTTCCCAGTTAGGAGGTATAAAATCTGTGAAGTTGATTCCAGGTTCAAGGCTTGAAGATCTGAAAACTGTGGGTTTGGTCAGTGATACACGTGTTCAAGATGTAAATGCTTTGGGCTTGAAACTTGACCCAAAGAAGCAAGGGGAGAATCCTGTGACTTTTGTACCAGAGATGTTGTTTCCAGAGACGTCTGTGGAGGTGTTTCAAGGGCTTCAACTGCAAGGTATAAAACCCAAGGAACTAACTTTACAAACACAAATTAGAGACGGAAAGCATGTGGTTACCTCATGTTTGAAGCAGCAAGCTCTGAAACCTGGAAATGCAAGCAAAACACAAGGGATCCAAGGAGTGAAATTTGTAGATTTAGCCTCAACACAAGAGGGTCAAGGAACAGCACTCACTGATTTAACTCTTGAGTCTGGATGGGATGACCAGATAACTATATATACACCAGAGTGGAAAAGTAGGGTTTTCAACCAACTGAAAAGGCAGTTTGAATCAGAAGATACGTTGTCTACAAAGTCAGATCAAGAACCCGAACCTGCAAATATAAAACCAACAGGGATCAACTCTAAGGTACAATGTAAAGATAAATTGGCTTCTGAATCGCTTGGTCATGGTGTAAAAACTAAAGAGTTCCAATATGAACCACAGTTGCCAAGTACGAACCCTTGTCAGTTGGCTGCAGCATCACAGATAGGCCAATTGAAAGCCTCAGAGTCAACACTGGAGCCACAGCTTCAAGGTGTTAAAACTATGCCACTAAATACGGAACCACAAATTGGAAGCACAAAGTCTATTCAATGGATACCAATATCTGAGTTTCAAGGCCCGAAAGGCACAGCACCAAACTTCAGGTCAAAGTTTGCCAGACCTACACAACTGAAGCTGCCTATGCAACGGAGAGGTGTGAGGCCATCTGAATTGGGTGCCAGGTCAAACACTAGGGGAGAAAAATGTGTTGCATTTCATCTTGAGCCACAGTTGCGGGGAGTAAAAACCTCTCCACCAACAATAGGGCTGCAGAAATCAAAAACTTCTACCTTAACTCCAGAGCCCCAGGTTCAAGGTAGCAAAGCCTTGAAGCTAAATGAAGAGCCACAGGTTGAAGGTGTACGGTCTGTTCAGTGGATACCTGGACCCGAGTTCCACAGTGTGAAGTTTTTAGGATTAAATCGTGGATCACCGTATCAAGGTGCCAAATCTGCAGAAAGGAAAGCATCCGCACTGTTGGAAAGTGGGAAGGCATCTGAAGTGACTGTGGGGTCAAAACCTCAAGGGAGAAAATCTGTTGATTTTGACCTCGGGTCACATGAACAGAATGTGGTGAAGAGCCCTGAGTTGTCTCCAGGACCAGAGCAACAAAAAGGGGAAGGCTATACATCAACTTCCAAGCCCCAGCTTCAAAGTATCAAAACTGTGGAGCTGAAGGAAGAGCCACAGGTCGAGGGTGTACGGTCTGTTCAGTGGATACCCGGACCTGAGTTCCATGGTGTGAAGTTTTTAGGATTAAATCGTGGGTTACCATCTCAAGGCACCAAATCTACAGAACGGATACCATCCATACTGCTGGGAGGTGGGAAGCCAACTGAACTGACTGTGGGGTCAAAACTTGAAGGGAAAAAACCTGTGGATTTTAACCTAGGACTAGAGCTACGAAAAGGAGGCAAGTGTGCATCAATTTCAGAGCTACAGTCTCGGGGTGTGAAAACTGTGCCGTTGCACCATGGGCCACAGCTTGAAAATACAAAATCTATTCAGTGGATTCCAGTGTCTGACTTCCAAGTTAAGAAATCTATGCCAAATCTTGGGTTACAATCCAAAGACATCACAGCCAAAGAGTTAAAACCCTCAATGCAACTAAGAGATGTGAAGACACCTGATGAATTGATTACAAGGCCCAAGATAAAAGGTAAACAACCTTCCGTGTCAGCTCAGGAATATTCATCTCACAGGTTCAAAACTATTGATTTTAAACCCGAGCTACAGTTTAGAGATATGAAAGCATATGACCCAGCCTTAAGGTCAAAGGTCAGTGATATAAATTCAATGACATTTAAACCTGGGTTTTATTTAGAAGATAAGAACTCTGCTAAATTGACCCCTGCAATAGTGAAATCCTTAGAGTCACACCCAGGAACACAGCCTCAAGATGTGCCATCTTTAGTGCTTAAACAACAGTCACAGTCTTCAGAAGTGAATTGTAGGGCATTTAGCCAAGGGCCACAATCACAAAACAATAAAAATACAGAGTTGAAAAGTGCAACATTCTGTGAGTTGGCACTTCAGACGAAGCCTCGAGGTATGAAATCTGAGATCAGGTCTGGGCTCCAGTGGCCAAGTGCAAAATGTTCTTACTTGACACCAGAAATAAAGTCCCACAATATTAAATATACTAAGCTAAATCCCAGCTCACCGTTGAAAGGTAAACCATTTACTGATTCCATGGGGACCAAAATTCAAAGTGTCAAGCTAGGCTCTAAACCTGAGCCACAGTTGCAAAATATAAAATCTGATTCAGCGCTTAGGGCAAAGCCTCAAGAGATGGAAATGGAAGACTATGAATCAGGTCCACAGTTACAAGATCTGAAATCTTCGAGGATGATCATGGGTATAAAGGTCCAAGATGTCAAATCTATGGATTTGGGTTCTGGACCACACTTACAAGACCTGACGTCTGAAGCCATTACAGAAATCGAACCATGTCCAAAGTTACAAGAGGAGAAACCTGATTTCACCCCAAAGAAGTCATTTTTAGGCACAAAATCTGTAGGAGTGGATTCAGGCCCCCATTTACGAAAGTTGAGATATCCTGAGCTGATCCTAGGCAAGAAAGCTCAAGGTGTAAATTCTATGGGACAACACTTTACAACGGTAAAATCTTCTGAGGTGGTAACACAGATAAAACCCCAAGGTGGAACAGCAGCGGACTTCAGTTCTGGACCACAGGCACAAAATGAAAACCCACCTGAGTTGGTTCAAGGAAAAAGGCTTTATGATCTAGAAGCTATAGACTTTGATCAAGGCCCAGAGTTACAAGGTTTAACATTGGAGTTAGTACCAGAGCTAAAGCCTCCAAACGGGGAATCTGTGAAGTTAAGTTCAGGCCCTCAGTTGCAAGATGAGACATATTCTAAGTCGATTCTAGGGACAAAACTTCAAGATGGGAGATCTACAAAGGTCAGTCGTGGCCTACACTTACAGGATATGAAGCCTTCTGAAGTGATTTCTGGGGACACGTTTCAAAAAGAGCAACCGATGGGCCTTGTGCATCAGCCACTGAGTCAAGATGTAAGATCTTTTCAAGGGACTCTCTTTAATAGGAAAACTTTGCAGTTTGATTTCCCCTCTCAGTTACAGGACTGGAAATCATCTACGTTAATACCAGAATTCCATTTTCAAGTTATAACACCTGAGGCATCCAACCCTGAATCAAAGTTGAAAGATGTGAAAGCTGAGCTCACAAACCCACAAACAGTGAAGAATGAGGAGGTCAATCATGGCACAGAATTGCAGGTTGTGGGATTATCTGAGTTGGCCCTGGACTCACCAATTTATGGTGTTGTACCTTCTGAACTCAATGCTAGAAAGCAGAAGCAAGACGGGAAATCTCATCAATTAAATCAAAAGCAACAGCTTCAAGGTATAAAATCCTTAGTGTTCAATGAGGAGCTACATTTGCAACATATCAAGTCATCAGAATTATGTACAAAACTGCAAGACCTGAAATCGATGGAATTCAACACAGAGCAACAGTTGCAAGATGTGAAGTCCTCTGAGTTGGGCCTGGGAACAGGTAGACAGTCTTTAGGGTTCAACCCTGGGCCACAGTTGCAAGAGATAAAACCTTCCCAGGTGTGCACAGAGACCAAGGTTCTAGATGAGTCATCTCTAGAACTCAAGCATGAGCCTAAATTGCAAGGTGGGAAATCTGGTGACTGGAGTCATTGTAAAAATGGTTTGGCATTCAACACTGGGATACAGGATGTAGACTCATCTGAGTTACACCCTGGTCCAGACTTTCAAGGTATAGAATCTAAGGTGTTTTGCCTTGGGCCACACTTGGAAGATGTGAGTTCTGCATGTACTCAACATATAAATTCTAGTGGGTGTGTACCTGGGCTATATTGGCAAGATACAAATTCCTCCGCATGCATTCCAGAGCCAGATCCTCAGTGTATACATTCTGTGTACAACCCTGCATCACATTTGCATCGAATGAATTCTTCCACATGCATTTCAGGATCAAAACTGCAATGTGAAGATTCTGCTGGGTGCAACCCTGAGCCACATTTGCAAGACATAAATTCGTCTGTACGTACCCCAGGGCCGAGTCCTAAATGTGTGAATTCAGCATGCACCCCAGGGTCAAGACCTCAGTGTGTGAATTCTTCTGCATGCGCCCCAGGATCAAGTCCTCA